AAAAAAAAAAAGAGTGCATGAAAAGAGTCACATAAGTCCAGTAAAATTTCACCAATATTGATGAGATTTATGTTGAGACTTTTTTCTTTGTAATTTTGTTACAAAAGTCTCTATATGTCTCACAGTTTAAAAAGTCTTATAAAGTCTTTCTGTTTTAAATACTGGGTAACTTATAAAGACTCTCAAAAAATTTTAATTGAATATCCTGAGACTTTTAGAGACTTATTAAATGTCTTTAAAAATCTCAATTGAATATATGTAAATTTTTCCGAAGTCTCTAAAAGTTCTAATTCAATACATCAGAATTCTGAAAGTCTTAAAAAGTCTCTAAAAATTGAAATTGAATACACCCTCCTAAGATTTCATAAATTCTATCCCAAATCTAAACATCCTAAAAAGTCTCATATCTTAAAAAGTCTTAAAATATCATTTATAAATTTTCAATTGAATACAACTTTGTACAAAAACTTGAAATCTCACCTTCAAATTAAAGATTTTAAAGATTTCACAGATCTCAGTTGCGGATTTAACTGTACTATTAACCTCGAGAAAATTGCAAATTTGTTCTCATAACTTTGACTGCTTCCCACATTTGGTCTCACGCACGCCATTTATGATCCTTTTTAATTTATTGTTGCAAAAATGGTCACATATCCGTCAAGACTAATAATCTCGCTCATGCATTGTTAGTCAACGTTCACAACTAAAAAGGAAGGAATCATATTTTAGGACTAAATTTATATTTTTCAAATGAGTGGGAGCACATTTGTATTTTTTATTTTTATTTTTTTTTTTAAAAAAGGGAAAGAAAAACAAGTTCTTCAAGTTTATCTAGAAGAGAAGACATATTACTTGATGCTTAATTTTAAAGTGAAATTTGTCTTTTGATTAAAAAGTTTGACTTACTTTAAAATAATTTTTTGAATGAAAATTAAAAGTATATTTTTATTTTATTGTGCACTTTAATTTTAAAACTTGTATGCCAAAATATTGTCCATTTTTGCTACATTTGATTTGTCCTATTTTCTTGAAACATATACATATCAATAAATTTGTTTAAAAAATACAAATATGTTTAAAAGAATAAGTGAGAAAATATATTTAAATTATTTTTATTAGCAACATTTTTTTTAAAAATTTTTTAGTAAATGTTAAAAAGGGTATATTACCATTTTCTCCTAGCAATACATTTAGTTTTTTTTTTAATAAATATAACATGTAAATATAACTAATATTCAATTTTTTCACAAGTTTTCATTTTTTTGGCAACTTAAAAGAGTAAATGATAAAAATTATTTAAATTTATTTTTGTTAGAAACATTTTTTAAAAAAGTTTTTAGTAAATGCTAAAAAGATATATTACCAGTCTTTCCTAACAATACATTTAGTTTATTTTTTAATAAATTACAAAAGATAGATATAAATAACATACAATTCTTTTACATTTTCTTATTGTAAATTAAAGTTTAACTTGATTTTTTTTCACATAAAATGATTATTTAATTGAGTAACATAACAAAAGGTGTATAAAATAATATTATTAATTAGTTCATGATAAGTGAGATGCAAAAAAAAAAAAAAATGATATATTTTACTATAAATAAGTGGGAGCAAATGTCTATTTTCACTTATTTTAATGCCAAATTTTGTTTTATTATGCTTAAAATTGACATTTTTTTATGTAGATGTAATTTGCATAAAAAAAATAGATTTTTCAATTTATAGTTATCAAAATCAAATCAAAATAAAAATTATTAAAATAAAAATAGACAATAATAAAAAAAAGTTTAGATTGGTTTTATATTGTTTTTTAATTCGTATTATTTTATAAAGTTTGTAAGTATATATATAAATCATCACATTATACTAATATTTAAAAGTGTAAACGGATTAGTATTCTTATAAGCATACTCACATTCTTTTCTTAATTTTATAAATTGGATTATGTCTTTTTGTTTGATTTATTTAATTAAAATAATAATTTCTAATTATTATTTAATTTAAATAATATTCAATTAATTGCCAATATTTTTAATGTAATGACTGTAAAAGTATTTAGAAAATAAAACAAATAACCTAGCAATTATATCGTTTATTTTTTCACTCTAAATTGAAATTTATCAACGCCCTTACTTTTAATATTTATTTGTTGCATCATATTCATAGTAAATTAAAATTATTATGTCATTTCGGCTTTGAGTGAAAGAGAGAGACTAATTTGACTTTCAACTTAAAAAATATGAAGTTACCAAATTTGTCTCATATGATTGGTCCCAAAAGTTGCTAACGATCTTGCACGTGAGCCCTGTTAATTTTAAATTTCATTCAAATAATTTCTTCTAAAACTAAGTCAAACTATTTAATTAAAAAAGCCAATTTTTCTACTTTTGAATTAAACATCAAAATAATATGACTTCTCTTATTGAAAAACTCATTCATGATTATTATTATTGAAAAATGCAAAATTGGTCCCAAAATTGCAAAATTGGTCCAACTTAAAGCCCCGTCAGTCTTGACAGACGTTGGACCATTTTTGCAACGAAAAATTAAAAAGAATCATAAATAGCGTCCGTGGGGCCAAATGTAGAAAACAATCAAAGTTATATGACCAAATTTACAATTTTCTCATTAATGCTCAACTAGTTAATTACCTGATAATTAGCCAGAGAAGATGTAAAAGGCAAAAAAGGGTACAGCATTTTCCTAAGTTGCCAAGCTGTTTAAGGCCAGTGGTCTTCACGTTCATATTATTGTAAACAACATTGATTGATTTAGGTAATGGATCATTGGTTGGCTGCTCGTTTTGGAGCCTTACACTGATTTTTTAGCGCAAAATCCTCGTAGCCCATGATTCTTTAATGTTGTCTTAGAACTATACGATTATTTTTAATTTTTATTTTATTTTTTTTCCTTTTGTTTTCTGTTCTTCGTCCCAAACCTTCTCAAAATTTACGAAAATCTTCCCCTTGCCCTTGGTACAGTTCTTGATAAGCTCAAAGGAAATTGAGGATTAGGTAAAGGGGGGCAAAGGGTTAGCTTAATTAGGGCGGGCTAATAATTTTATGAATCAAATTTTATTCTGATATAGCCCGAAAATAAAGAAAAAAATAAATCAAAGAAAGCAAAGAAGAAGAAGAAGAAGAAGGTGAAGATCGGAGTGTGAAGATGTTACAGAGAGCCGCAAGCAATGCATATTCATGGTGGTGGGCTAGTCACATCCGGACAAAGCAATCCAAATGGCTGGAACAGTGCCTTCAAGGTATCTAATTATCTATCTAATCCTCCTTATTGATTGTGTTTTTATTTGGGGATTGTGATTAGGATTGATTGATAGGATTGTTTGAAATTGAATGTCCATTTATGTTCATGGCTAGGTATTTATCAATAGTTTTGAAGAGAAATATTTGAGGTGTTGACAGACACAAACCTTTTTTTTTTTTTTT